AGAGGAAATTATACATGACCTTTAATTTTCCAATAGATATGTCAATCTTTTTCAATGCTTATTTCATGTCACGCCTTCGATCAATATGAATTTCAATTCACTAATTATTAAGTTAACCATTGGTGAGATTTAAGTTGACTATTAGGGATATAAATTCTAAATCCATTGCAAATCCATCCCTAAAAAAAGATTTTAATAGTCAAAGACTCATAAACAACATCAAACTTATTGGCTATTATCACAACTTTTAATATGCCATGGCTCATAAAATATTGATAGATTATTATTATATGTTAAAATGTAGATAAATCAATCCAAAACGTTGTAGCTCAACACTTCCAACAGTGATGCCACAACATTAATTTTTCCTTTTGAAAAGAGAAGTTTTCTTTTTCTTCTCCATTTTTTTTTAGTTTTTTTTTTTAAATGAACTACTTTCTTAAAATAATTATATTGTAACTTCTTCTATGGAAAAAAAAAAGTCATCATATGATAGACTAGTGAGGAAAAAAAAAAGAAAGAAAACTACTCTCGAAAATAAAGGAATCATCAGTGTTGTTTGAACATACAAGTACATAAATAGTTACAAGTTAAGAAAGTAATGAGTAGATTATGGTCACCAAGAATGGAAGTTACTCAGTACCAAGTTTTATACTTCGATTTTATCTAACTGAAAAATGCTTTAGGGAAGCATATGGTAAGAAATGATTATACGAATAATTTAATAAAATAAGAAAACAACATAACAATGGAAGATGTCCAAAAATCAACCACTACGGGAATTAAAAAAGAAGAAAAGAGAAAATAATTCAATCATTCACCGTGACCCATTTGAAGATTTGGATATGACAACAATATTGTTCTTCAATTGCTTCCTTTTTTTATTCAGTCCTTATTAGTAGAATATGGCAGCAAATTAAGAATATTACCGTTGGTCAATATCCTTTAAATTTAATGTATTTATAATGGTTTCCTTATGTAAGTCTCCCAGCACCATTACTTTTAGTGAACCTAATAGAAGAGTCATAAAGACATTGGCTTATTTTGTGAAAATTTGTGTTGTTTTCTTTTTCATGGTATCAGAGGTCTGCTCTGTAACTAGTGAGAATATGATTTTTCTTTTTTCGATCTATCATGGCCAACATTGAGAAAAAAATCTTTATCCAAACATTTCATCGATGTACAAGTTTGATATCGATTAAAGTTCGAAGCATATTTAGGGAAGATAACTTTCTAAAATAATCCGACACATAATTAATTTAATAAAACAACACCAAAATAGAGAGATAAGAAACGCTTCTAAATTATGGATTGAGGCACCTTCGTAAACACTGTCCATAGATAAGATGTACCCCCACTACATTGAGTTTTATGGCACTCCACCCCGAATATACAACAATCATCCAAGAGACCTTGTATAGCAGCTAAGTTCTATTACGCATCCTTAATTACTTGTATGCTCAAAATCATAAAACATAAACAATTTGTTGGAAATTATGTTGGAACACACAGCATACTCTGTCTCTTAGGCTGTTAGATGATGCTCCTTTTATAAGAGAGCGTCCCCTATTATTTGGGTGTCTATGTTTAACAATTTGTAGTCATTCCATCATATTTATTAGAAAGAGTTGGCCCACAAACTTAAACGACTAAGATAACGTAATAAAATAAAATAATAAATATAAAATCTTCAAAATTTCCAACAATCCCCCACAATTTGAAGGTTTTGAAAATAAAGATGGGCATCTTTACTATGCAATGGGTGTAGATACCTTTTAGGTTTGAACCTTCACTTAGTGATAGCAAGTGTACATTTGAAAGAACCATAGTGAACTAAGTCTTGAACTAGGTCTTTTGGTCCAAATTTCCACTTACCACACACATAGTATAAGTAATATATATAGCATCTTCTTTTACGTGGGTTGCGCGTTAAACGGTCATGCGCACATATCTTATTCATGAGCGGATTAGTCATGTCCCCATTGTAGCGACCTCACTACAATACCCACATAAGTGAAAGCACCAAGGGTTGTTTGCGAACAACACCCTACATAATACATACCTTTGTTTCATTAAGAGTTATATTATTCTTTATCATCGCAATTACGAGCACTACCACCTTAGGAATGAGCCTTGGAGTAATCCTACATTATAATATGTGCTCCCATAGTCACACTTCAACTTCGTTGTTACCCATTGAACCTCTTTCATAGGATCTCCAATATTTTAGGTTGTGTGTCCATTGCGGTGACTATCTTATCGATCTCCCATTCCTCTTGATGATTTCATATTTTAGACAATTTCAACACATTCATCTCTCAAATGATTTATATAATTCTTTTGATTGATCAATCTATTGCTCTTGCATATGGGTTGCTTGTAAAAGTCAATCAACAAGTTATCAATATTAACAAATGTTTCTTTATGCTGTAATATTTACTTTAAAAATACTCTCCCCACATTTTGAGACATTTTATATAACATATATACGTTAATCACTCAAAACATTTTTCGCAACCATAAATAGTAACAAAACAATTTGATATGTAACTCATTAACAAAATTGTCATATAGGAGGGAAATTAAGACATTACAAAATACATAAATTAATTATCCCATCAAAAATTAATTTAGTTTCACATAATTATATTTATAAACTTTGCCACTTTGTCATGAGACATTTCCCTTGATTTACTACATAATTTAAATAGCAACATCACTCTACTAATTAGCACCCAATAACACATGAGTAATTAACCAATGGTATAAATTTACAATTTCTAGCTCCAATAAAACTTGTGGCTATGAATCACACATCAATTCATAATGAAATACTTTTAAATACCTGTCAACAAATAAATGATACACTATTTAACGTGTAACTTTCCCTTTTAAGATTGACACACTTAATAAAACTAGTACAATACCACGTGCAAATGCACATATTATTTTCAATTTAACTTAATTTTATAATAACACAAATAAATGAGAAAAAACAATAATACTAATAGTACAATAATAACAAAAAAGAAAATTAAGATGTATATACGCAAACTTTTTTTACTAATTTAATCATTAAATTTAATTTTACTAATTTAATCATTTAATTTTTATGAGTAGGTTTAATTTGGATTATTTTGTACCGATTTTTTTAATTGAATTTTAGGTTATATTTTATATTTCTAATACATTGATTAAAAAATATATAAGTACTTTAATTGTTTAGTTTGAAAATGTTATTTTATCTAATTTGGATTTATTATTTCAAAAAATATTTTGTTTTTTTTAATTAAAAAATGTAAAAAAAAAAATTCAAGCTAGCATTTTTTATATATTAAACATTTTAATTTATACTAATTGAACTTTATATTATAATTAAAATTATTAAAAATATATTTACATTATATAATAGAAAATGAAGAGGAAAAGGTTATATATTAAACTTTTCAAATTTCATAGAAAATTATTGTTGATAATTAATTTATTAATTTACTCTTTGCAATTAATTGAAAACTTTATGATGTCTTCGATGTCCTTATTTTTCTTATTCAACAAAATCAACACGAGCTTCTAATATGGATCAATACATTATTATTATTTTCTAGGGACCTTTGGCTTAAATGGGGGGATCGGAATACAAAATGGTTTCACAATAAAGCTTCTCACCAGAGACGGAAAAATGAAATTACACGATTACTAGATCACAGTGGAAAATGGGAGCTGGATAAGACCAAAGTGTCAGGTATTATTGAAACTTATTTCGCTGACTTATTTGCTTCTTCAGCTCCAAGTGCGTTTGATATTGAGCAGGTTACCAGTTGTATTGAGGCTCGGGTTTCTCCTGATCATAATCGAGAGCTTCTAAAGCAATTCAATGTAGAAGAAATCAAGCGGGCCCTAAATCAGTTCATCCTAGCAAAGCCCCGGGGCCGGATGGTTTTTCAGGCGCTTTCTACAAGAAGTTTTGGCATATCGTGGGTCAGGATGTTACAAACTATTGTTTGAATATAGTTAATAATAAAATGGATTTGAGTCCCTTGAATGAAACCATGTTAGTTCTGATTCCGAAAGTTAAAGCTCCACTGAGAGTTTCAGAGTTTCGTCCTATCTCGCTATGCAATGTGTGTTACAAAATCATTTCAAAGGTTCTGGTAAACAGATTAAAAGGTATTTTGGATGCGATCATCTCCCCAAGTCAGAGTGCTTTTATTCCAGGAAGGTATATTACGGATAATGCAATATTGGGCTATGGATGCATTCATTCGCTTCGGAATAAGAAATGTGGAAACTCTTCTTGGGTAGCCTTGAAACTTGACATGAGCAAGGCCTATGATAGAATTGAGTGGAACTTTTTAGAGGCAGTTAATGCTGAAGTTGGGGTTTGCAAGGGATAGCGTGGAGCTTGTTATGAATTGTGTTCGCTCGATTTCGTTTGCCTTCAAGTTTAATGGTGAAAAGGTAGGTCACATTATTCCCGAGCGAAGCCTTAGGCAAGGAGATCCCCTTTCACCTTACCTGTTTATTATGTGTGCCGAAGGCCTCTCTAGTCTTATTCAGCAAGCTTCTATCGTTAACGATGTTTCTGGGTTTTCTATAGCCCGTCAGAGCCCGCCTATCACTCATCTATTCTTGGCTGATGATAGCCTCTTCTTTTTTAAGGCCCGACCTAAGGAGGGCTTGAACATTAAAGAATGCTTCAGGAAATATGAAATAGCTTCTGGCCAGATGGTGAATTATTATAAGTAAATTCTTGCTTTTAGCCCAAATACGAAAGATGATATCAGGGGTCATATAAGAGATATTCTTTCAGTCAAGCTTGTGGAGTGCCATCAGAAATATCTTGGGCTGCCCACCTTTATGCCAAGGAATAGACGAATGCATTTCAATTACATCAAGGATCGTGTGTGGATGCACCTTCAAGGGTGGAAAGGTAAACTTTTTTCGATCGGGGGTAAGAAGGTGCTTATTAAAGCAATAGTTCAGGCGATTCCTGCTATACCATGTCCTGTTTCAGACTGCCTAAGAAATTTATCAATGAATTGCATCAAGTAGCTGCCCGTTTCTGGTGGAGGTCTGGGGGAGAGGATAAGAAGATCCATTGGCTGGGTTGGAATACTTTACGTAAACCAAAATTTTGTGGTGGCATGGGGTTCCGTGACTTAGAGCTTTTCAATAAGGCTTTACTTGCAAAGCAGAGCTGGCGGATTCTCAATAACCCTGACTCCGTTTTGGCTAAAGTGTTGAAGGGGCGTTATTTTAGAAATTGTGATTTGTTGCAAGCTGAAATTCGAGGGAGCCCTTCTTTTATTTGGCGAAGCCTTGTTTGGGGTTCTGAGCTTCTGAAGGATGGTTTGCGATGGCGAATTGGGAATGGTGAAAATGTAAATGTTTATAGAGATAATTGGGTCCCAAATCAACCCTCACTCAAAATTCTATCAGCTCGAAGATTGCCTATTGAGTCAACGGTTCATAGTTTGATAAATCATGATTTAGCTATTTGGAAGGTGGATGAAATTGAAGCTGCATTCTCTCCTGATGAAGCTAAGGGTATTCTCTCTATCCCGTTGGGGAGCCGAAATAGAAGGGATAAACTGATATGGCACTACGAGAAAATGGGGGTGTATACAGTTAAGAGTGGGTACAGGATTGCTGTGATGAAGCAACCACTTTTACATGTTTCTTCTTCATCCTCTGAGACTATGACTTCGTGGTGGAAAGGCCTCTGAAATATGAAGATTCCCAGCAAAATCAAAGTATTTATTTGGCGTTTATGTTTGGATAGGCTCCCTACGGGTGTCAATCTTACTAAGAGAGGAGTTGATGTCCTAAATTGCTGCTTCTTTTGTGACCACAAAGGGGAGGAAAACCTCCATTTGTTCTGGGAGTGTAGTCATGTTAGATTCCATTGGCTCCACTCTGAGTTCTCGCACCTTCCTACAGCTCAACCATGTCACAACATGCTGCTTCTTCTTAGGGATTGGAATGAAGTTTTGGGTTGGTCGGATTTTGAGGAATTAGTCGTTTTCCTTTGGGGAGTTTGGAGTCGGAGGAATGATATGACTTTTAATCTGGATTTGGACAGGACAACCAATGATCTATCTGCTTGGGCCTCTTCTTACATCATAGCTTTTCGGACAGCAAATTCTAATCCTTTACCGAGGGACCAAACTCCTAGAGAAACTCGTTGGCTTCCACCGATTAAAGGGGTATACAAGATTAACAATGACGCTTCCTTCTCTCCTATTGAATGTAATGCAGGTTTAGGGATTATGATCAGAAATTTTAGAGGCCGAGTGATGGCTTCTGCTATGAAATACCTAGAACATGTTCAGTCAGTCGATGATGCAGAGGCCTTAGCGGTTTCGGAGGGCCTGCGGTTGGCATTGGAGATCGGTATTTGCCAAGTGCAGCTGGAAACGGACTCTGCCAGAATCTTCAACCTTTTCGTTCATGAGGTGGAGGATTTGTCAGAAACCGGAAATATTGTTCAATCTGTCAAAATGGAGGTGGCTACAGTCATTCAAACATCCTACAGCTTCACGCAAAGAGACGACAACAGAGTAGCGCACATGCTTGCTCAGAGGGCTCTTCGGTTTCAGGATCATGGCATCTGGATTGAGGAGTGGCCAGGGGAGTTGAATAGTCAACTTGAGTTAGAGTGCTAGATTCCCTTTTGTAATTTTCATATGCTTGTTCTATTTAAAAAAAAATTATAAAAGAAGAATAGAAAACAATACTAAAAAAAAAAATCAAACTTTAGCTACAAAATGATATAAAATATGTTGATGCATAACAATCACTATTATTTAACTTCATAAATTATGGAACGATAATGTTGCAAGCCTTGGATTCAAGATATAGATTCCACACATGTATTGTCTACAACTTGATGAATATACAATTTTGAGATTGACTAATATTTGAGACCAATGTTTTGAGAGAACTAAGTGTTGGAAAAAATTAGTGAAACAAAGTAAGTTTTTATACTAGCAGGAGATAAAACATTACAAAACTTTTGAAATTCTAATATGAATTATAATTAAAGAAAAAAATTTAATTTTGTGGTGTAGAAAATCTTTTGTTTTAACGTTTGGCATTCTAACCTTGTTTAGATCATATACATTTATTACTATTGATAATTAATAATTAATATATTTTTGTTCATTAAAAATTATAAAAAAAATATTCAAGCTAACATTTTGTTATATATTAAACATTTTAATTTATACTAATTTAACTTCATATTGTAATTAAAATTATTATAAAAAATATTTAAATTATATTATGGAAAATGAAGAGACAACAAGTTATATATTGAACTATTTAAATTTCATACAAATAAATTTAATTAATTTGCTATTTGCAATTAATTAAAAACTTTGATGCTTGGCAATCACTATTATTTAACATCGTAAATTATCAGGGTAATTATATCTTGATTCTTGTGAGTTTCTATGTCTGTTACTAAGTATTAGTTGTGATATGAACCAAAGTGTCTTAGTCTTCAAGAATTAAAGGAAGTTGTTGGAGAATCCTATGTCCAAGTTACAAATTGGAGTTGCATTAAATGCACTCTAGTGTCATTTATGGCAACCTCAAGTTGCATTGAATTAAGTCAAGAACAAGTCCAACTTCATTTACTACAAACTCAAGTTGCATTAATGGAAGTCTAAGTTGAACTCAAGATGCATTAAATGAACAAGACTTCAAAGTACTTGAAAGTAGTTCAAACTCCAATTCATTCACTCTTGAAGGGTTACAAACTCTTGGTTTTA